CTCAGCTCTTGCCTTTTTCCTTTTACATTTTTATTTCTTTTCATGATGACAGTGGTGAGGCTCTGCCTCCCCTGCCTGCCCGTCCCTGCAGCCCACCATACCAAAACAGCATCCAAGCAGTTCAGAAAGAGTACGCTAGGCTATTATCCTTAAATCAGAATATCAAACACACATTTGGGACAGGACAGAATGACTAGATCTGACATGTGGATGCTCTTTAACTAAGTTGGCTATTGCTTCTGTAAGTAGAATAGTGATAAGATTATGCAATGGTCAAAGAAAATCCAGACAAGCTGTTTCATATACTTTTTTTTAAAGAAACAAGAACTGCATGACTGCAACTCAATCACACCCATCTCTTTCCATGCAAAGGTAACAAAACAGAGTGATTCAGAAACTGGAAATTTAGGAAAAGATTGAGACTAAAATGATTTGAAGAGAGGAAAGGAAGAAGAAACATGAGCAAGAGAGCTACAAGTGTATACAGGCTCAGGTAAAGTTCCAAAGGCCAGAATATATTATAAGACGAGTGGGAAAAATATCATTTTTATGGAATTTATAAAGTCCTCTGCCTCCAAATCACTGAGGCAGATGTGAGGATTGTGCACCTTATATTAAGGCTTCAGAACCACATCCATTTGTCACAAAGGAGAGCAGCAGAAGTTGAGAGAATCTATCTGTCATGAAGGAGACCAGTGGATATTAAGAGAGCCAGGTTAAGCTAATGGTTAATGCACCAGGCCAGAAAGCAGGAAATCATGTTTCAAGTTCTGCCTTAGCCATGAAAGCCAGCTGGTTGACCTTAAGCCAACCTCTCTCTCTCAACCCATCACATCATAGTACTTTTGTTGTAGAGAAAAGTGTGTTGGATAGGACTAAATTCCAGTGCAAACCAACAATATCCTTCTCAACTTTCCAGGTCCTGTGTGAATCCAAGACTTGGGATTACAAGTCACCCACTAAAAAGAGCAGCAAGATACATACTACAACCCAAAGGGACCCATAAGTGCACTTGTGTTTTTTTTTTAATTAATACTTCAGCAGTTCTTCCAGTCTTTAAAAGGAAAGATCACTTTCTTTCTTGTGAAGAAAGCAATTTTTTAAAAAGCAGCTGTAAAATTTTACATTGACTAAAGAAAAATGCTTTGGGTTTGTATTTTTACTATAGCTAGTCCTTGTTACAACTGTAATTGATCTAGAAATTACAGTTTTAAGTCATGCCTGTTGTTAACCACGTGATCATGTGTGATTTTACAACCTTTTGTCTAGTAGTCTTTAAGAGAACACAGCAGTGTTAAGTAAATGTGTGGTTATTAAGCAAACCCATTTTAGCTAATGGCCTTTTTTTGTTGGAAGCTGAAGGTAAATTACTGCTTCCAGCAAAAAAACAAAAACATTGCAAGTTGAAGTCATATAACTATGGGATTGGTTGCCAAGTACCCAAATGCGATCATGTGACTAGGGAGAGGATTCTTTGTAACTTTGACTGGTCATAAACCCAGGATTACCTGTATTTGTATTTGAAATATTTTATAAAAGGTGAAGATGAACAAATAAAAGGGATGGAGGAGGGGGGAAAACCCAAAAAAGAGAGACAGAACATAACTACCAAAAGAAAAAGGTCAGAATAAAATCAAAGGGATTTCAGCTCACTTAAATTTTCTACAGAAGTGATTTCCCTTGCTGATTCTAATGAACAAAGATATTTTATCTCACTCTGGATCCCATCCTATCTGTCCTTTGGAGCTTTGTCTGACCTTGTATACACTTGTGGCTCTCTTGCTCATTTCAGATTGGGATTAGGTTAACAGTACCAACTACAGATAATGGAAAGTGCTAAATGTGTGTTTTATTTAAAATTCCCATATCTTCAGAACATCTTTCATCCAACCTCATATTTTTCAGCACATTATGGCGAGCCTTAGTCATTTTAGAACTCACCCTATGAAAAAGTACTGTCTGTGCTGTCCAAATTTTTCAACCTCCTACACATACTTTATTTTCATTCTCCAATAATGCCACCATAGTAACCATCCAGTTATGTCTTGGTAAAAAAAATCCAATAGTTTTTGTGTAGGGGCAATCTATACAATATAACAGCAGAGTGGAAGGGACCTTGGAAGTCTTCTAGTCCACCCCCCTGCCTCGGCAGGAAACCCTATACTGTTTCAGACAAATGGCTATCCAACATCTTCTTAAAGACTTCCAGTGTTGGGGCATTCACAACTTCTGGAGGCAAGNGAAAGGACAAAGGAGAAGATCTAGATGGACTTTAAATAATACTATATTAAAAGAAAAGGATTTTGTAGAGAAAATGGAGAAAGAATTGGCGTTCTTCTTTAAAGAAAATAAAAAAGAGGACACATCAATGCAGAATCTCTGGGACATAATGAAGACCTATGCCAGAGGCTTAATAATAGACTATACAAGAAAAAGAAATATTAAGAAAAGACAAGCTTTTAAAATACTGGATGATGACTATAAGAGACTTGAAAAAGAGGTACAGAAGGCCCCACAAAAAAAAATATTAAAATAAAAATGGATACAGCTAAACATAAAATGGGGATAATGGAAAAGGAGGAATTAGCACAAAAAATTAGAAGTGCTAAACAGAATTATTTTGAAAATGAAAAAAAAAACAAGGGAGATGGCTAGCGTATAAATTGAAAAAACAGAGAGAATCAAGAAAAATAATGCAACTAATAGATGACCAAGGGCAAATTTGTTATGGAAA